TCTCCGCAACACCGCGCCCCGGGTCGTTACCCCCCCCAGGGACACTGAACCCCGTCTCAACTCCTCATAGGAACCTGTACCCTGGGTGATTTCTCATCTCCGCTCTGGGGACTTGCATCCTGTGCTGCCCCCCCGGGAACCTGCACCCTGGGAACCTCACTGAGTGGTCCTCTCCATCCCCGGACCCTCCCCTGCCCCATGTCTTCTTCACTCAGGGGACACAGCACACCAGGCTTCCTGTGCCTTCAACTCCCCTCCACAGAGCTGCCGTGCCCGAGGTTTTCTCTCCAAGGACATGGCACCGTGGGCTCTGCCCCACACACCCAGCTGTGCCCTTGCTGATGTGCAAGGGTTGGTGGGCACAGCCTTTTTGGGGGCTCCTTTGCTGCCTGCCTGCCCCTCCATGCCCACTGCTCCCAAACATTGCCTGCCCTCAGAACCCTGCCAGGCTGTGTCCAACAGCACCTTTCCCAGGAGGTTTTGCCTCTGCATGAACTCTCACAGTTGCTTTTGCACTGACCCATGCAGGGCTCTGCAGGGGCTCCCAGCCAGGTCCTCATGCTCTGGCTAGGGCAGGCAGTATCACCCTGTTCCCCGGCACTGGCCCAGCCCAGACCAGAACCACGCTGAAGGGGTCTCTGCTGGAGCAGCAGTGGCCTGATCCCTGCAAGTTGGGATTGTTCCCAAGCCAAGCCCTTCAGTGCAGCCTGTGGATGAGCCCAGTGGGACAGGGGACAGCGCCGCGGGCCCTGCCTATGCTGTCTGCTCCCTTTCATGCCTTCCTTGCACCAGCATTTGCAAGCGAGGCCAGAGCAGGAGCCACCCTAAGAGGTTGTGAGAGTTTGGGAGCAGCTGTGGAGCAGCTGCCGGGGCCAGTGAGGGGGCTGGGGCCGTGTCAGGCGCCTCACAGGAGGCTCAGATGGCTTTGGGGGTGGATGTGGTGGGACTATGCTCAGGGACATGGTGGGAGCCCTAAGCCTGCCGCTGCCAGGCTTTGTTCTCAGAGCAGCGAGGCTGCAGCCCCTCCCAAGGCTCCACCTCCACAGCCCACCCGAGACCCTCCTTCCGCTGTCTGTGCACAAGCTCCTCACATGGTGCGCAGAGCTGGTGGGCAAGAGCTGCTCTTGGCAAAGCACAGAGGCACCTTGGGTGGTAGAGCCATCATCAGTAGGGGGCAGAGGCAACAGGGCATGAACCCAATGGAGCTGAGCCCCCTGTGAGTGCAGACCTGGCAGTGGCACAGGGGGGCTGGCTGTGGTACTGTGGCTCTGCCCTGGCCCTGCTCCAAGGCCGGGCATCCCAGGGCTGAGCTGGCAGAACCTGTTCCCAGGCCGTGCTACCCCAGCAGGCTCCGTCCCGCATGGCTGCCTCCCCCTGCCCTTTCTCTGCCCTCCACTCACTGGTTGCTGTCCTGGCTGAGCCAGGGTTGGCTCGGCAGCTGCTCACGTGGGGCCACAGCCGCCTCACCTTCCCCCGTGCTTCCCCTGACCTTGGCTGCACAGCTGGGACTCACGCTCAGGCACTCACCCATCCCTGCTCCTCCCAGTCCTGCCAGGCAGGCACCATTTTTACAGCTGTGTCCTGCTGCTCCTCAGTGTGACCCTCCCACTGCCCACATGTGCCCCAGCCTGAGCGCCCAGTCCCAGCCTGTCTCCATCACTCCTTTCCCCACCTCATCTTTGACAGGGTTTTGCACTCCTGCAGCTGGCAGTAGGAAGATGTGGCACTACTGCCCAGATCTGGGTGATGCCAGGAGGCATTTGGCTTCCCAGAGCCAGCTCCTGCCCCCGGCAGAACCTTCCAGTAGATTAGCAAGACAATTTTCCTTACAATTGCTCATCACTGCAAGAGCTGCAATTATTAATGACCGTTCCAGCTGTCAGAGCGAAGCAGGAGGAGAACACCCGCTTCCCCACACCCGCTGCCCTCAAGCCCGTTCCAGGCGGAGGTGCCGGCACGGCCTCACACCCATCCTCCGGGACAGCAGCTGCATCGCGTGAGCGAACGCTTGGCTGCCCCACACCGGAGAACGCCCAGAGCTGGTGCACGTGGCCCATTTGTGTCCCGTGACTTCTCGTCCCCTGTGCAGGACTCGGGGCCAGGGCACAGCAGGGACCAGAGGACACTGCCAGGTAAGGGGGGGCCACTAAGGTCTGACCCCTGCCCCATTTCCCCTCACTGCGTTTTGCCCCTCAGATTAGTTACTGCCTCTGTTAGTGATCCTGCCTGCTACAAACAGAGGGATGACCCAGGCAGCACAAGGGGTCCAGCCCGGGCTGACGCGGGCAGAGGAGGAGAAATCAGAGGTGAAGATTTTCCCTGGAAAGCTGGAAGGAGCTGAGTCAGGCCCCAGGGGGGCCAGGATGAGGGCAGAGCATGACCTTCCCAGCTGGCTGCACCTCAGTCGGCAAAACCGCAGGCCTGGAGACAGCCGGCACTCGCAGAGATGTGTTTATTAAAGGCATTAAAAGCACAGTGGCTACATCAGTGCAGCCCGACCAGAGGGTGTGGGTTGGGGGGAGGCATCGATGGGCCCAGGACGGTGGTGACAGAGCACTCTTTGGCAGGAAGCCGTGCCCAAGCCTTGCAGGAGCAGACAGCCAGCTGGCCATCAACACAAGCTGCCAGCCCAGGGCTGGGGCACACCAGGCTGGGGGTGCTGCCAGCCTCAGGGGAGCAGTGGGGTTGCAAGGCATGGACTTCCCTTGGAATGCAGCCAGGGCAGGAAGCCACTGCAGCAGTTTGTGGGATGATTGGGGGGTTGCTGTGGGTAGGGGAGCAGGGCTGGGTCTCCAGCCCCATGCACTAAGCACACAGCAGGGAAGGTGAGGAAGAGTGTGGCAGGGGGCTGGTCCTCACCCATTCAGGGATGTGTTAGGAACATCCCTGCCCCAGCACTGAGCTGCCAGGCAGCAAGGGAGCAGCCTGGTTGCACCAGAGCATCCCCAATTCCAGCCTCAGCACGGCTGTGCCCACTATGCTGCGTGGTTCAGGGGCAGGAAATCCATGCAGCATCCCCTTCCCAGGGCTCCTAGGGCCAGTCAGGAAGCACAGAAGAAGTCACCCAGCTATAAGGGCTCTGCACCCAGCACTGTCTCCAGCTGAATTCAGGCCAGGAGCTGCCAGGAAAGAGGCAGGAGCAAGGGAAAGGGCCAAGGGCCCAGCCTGGCTCCCTGGAGGCATCAGGATGGGAGGAGAGGAGCATGCAGGGCCAGGGGCACGCGTGGGCACAGCTGAACTTCCACCCCTCACACATGGGAGAAAGCATGGCTCTTGCAGAGCGGCTTGTCCTTCTTGGAGTAGAATGTCTTCCCTTCCAGGTTGGTCTGGCAGATCTGGGAAGGAGAGTACAGGTGATCAGGTTGGGGGGCTGAGTCAGCCTCCAGGTCTCCCCTACCCCCAGGGCCCAGCACTGGTGTCACCCAGGTGCCAGGGACCAAAAGGCTGAGAGCCAATTCCCAAGCCCCCAGCACAGAGACAAGTGGGGAAAACCTTGTGGCAACAGAGTCCCTGTGCTGCTGGTGTACCCCACGCGGGGCATGACTGTTGGAGAGAGACACAGGCACATGGCTCACCGCACAGACGAAGCAAGTGTCGTGCCAGCTGAACCCCAGGGCCTCCAGGAACCGGTCCCCAGCATCGATCTTGAAGTCACAGCCACGGCACTTGGTGCCAAACATCTTCTCGTAGTCTGTGAGGAGAGTAGAGCCCAGGTCAGCATTTCTTTGTACCACAGCCCCTCATCCCAGAGGAGTAGGGCTGCAGCTCAACCGGGATCCCACAGGCACAGCCTGGGGCCAACCTGCTGCCAGTCCTGAGGGGACAATGCCCCAGACAAAGTGTCCGGGCCATGCAGGTGGCCCAGCACCACAGGGCTGCAGGGAAGAGGCAAATCTCATCTCCCAGGGTGCAGCACTCACTTTGATGTACATCCTCCCTCATCACCATGGCAACACAGGAGCGATGGCACTACCAGGAGGACTGGGATGGAGAACTCGAGGCTGCAGGAGCTCTCCATGGCCCAGGGCAACTCACCCCTCAACCCCTGTGGGCAGCTGCTGAGCCCCAACAGTGCACCAGGGCCACATGAGGTGACACATGGGGTCCCTGGGTCCTACCTCTCTCGCAGTAGGGCTGTCCCTCCTCCATGTAGAAGGCTCGGTTGCGGATGGGAGTTTTGCAGGCATTGCAAGTGAAGCACTGCACGTGCCAGGTCATCTTCAGAGCGTGCATGACCTCCTGGAAGGGAGCCACTGTCAGCCAGGGGCAGGACCACCCAGGGCAGGAAGGGACAAGGGATCCCATGGGATGGGATTAGGGTGGGAAGGGACAGAGCCAGGCACCCATAGGTGAGCGGGGAGCAAGGACAGGAGGTGCAGGACAGACTGAGGGACACTCACTCCAGTGATCTTCTTCTTGCACTTGGCACAGCTGGGTGCGTAGCGTGAATCGTAGCACTTAGGGCAGAAGATGGAACCTTTCTCCTCAAAGAAGCCACCCTCATCCAGCACCTTCCTGCACTGGCAGCAGGTGAACTCCTCGGGATGGTAATAATGTCCCAGTGCCACCAGGTACCGTCCCCTGTGGCAGGACAGAGCCATGTCAGCCATGCCAGGGCCCAGGATGCTGGCAGGGGGTGGTGGTGGCCAGGGCTCACCTGATGACCTTGTTGCACTTGTAGCAGAGGGGGGTGCAGCCGGGCCCCTCGGGGGCCTGCTGGGCCGCCTGCACGATGGAGCTGCGGTTCTGCATGGGGGTCGGCGTGGCCGGCTGGCTGTGCTTGCTCACCACCGTGCTCGTCTTGTCCGGAGCGTAGCGCTCGGCGAACGACGGGTCCACAGCCCACGGTGGGCGGCTGGTGGGGCCCGGGGTGGCAGTGGGGGTCCTGGGGGCTGCATGCACACACACGTCTCTACAACAGTCCTGATTCCTCTGCAGCCCCCTCCCAGAACCCGCGGCTGAATGAGTGGCATCACCCAGCAGCCCCACCCCTCTCCCAAAAAGCCCAGAGATGTTTTGCTCACCCAGTCCTGGCTCAGTCTTCATCGCTGCTCCTGGAGATGGGTCCGACACGGAGACCTGGCTACAGAACATGCAGTTAATCCAGCCTGCCCCACTCTGCTGCCCAGAGGGTGCAGGCAGGGCCCCCCACCCCAACAAGCAGGCAGGACCTGGCCAAGCCCCCGTGCCCAGCCAGTAGCTGGTTTGGTGATGAGGAACCATCAGCCCTGCCAAGACACAGCACCCCTAGGGTGTCTGGTACCCACTGTGGTGGTCTGAGGAGTGGCAGGAGGAGGAATCCGGGCTGTGTCAGACTGACCAGGGGCCCCAAGGACCCCACAGACTCTGGTTGCCTGCTCACATGCAGTGATCACTCACAGTCACATTGGGGTGCAGAGGGGCTTGGACCCAATGTGATGCAGGGAGCCCTGGGGCCCAACTCAGCAGAACTGGGGACAAGCAGGGCAAGCCAGGGCCAGAGAGGCACAGCCCACCCAAGAGAGGGGACAGGGACTGAGGGAGAGCCAGTGGCTCTGTTCCTCTCCAGGGTAAACACAAAAGGAGATGGCTACAAACCCAGGAGCTTTTATTAGTGGCAGAACAAACTGGGCAGAGCTGGAACCTAAGGGCCACAGTACCAGGACAGAAGGCATCACAGACAGGTGAAGGCAAAAACTGGGGTGCAGTGCACCACTCCTGCCCAGCTTCATGGAGTGAGGAACAGCCCTGGCTCCCTTCCCTGCCCCACACAGGGAAAAGAGGGTGACACCCACCAACTCTGCCCAGCTGCCCCACACCAGGCCCACGGGACACCATGCCCCAGGTGCAGGTGCTGCCCAAACATCAAAACACCCCAGCAGGATTTTGCCAGTGCCATCAGTCACCCCCAACCTGCTGTTTCTGGGACACAATGGTGCAGCTCAGCATTCCCAGCTGAGGAGCAACAATGCCCAACAGGTCCTGCCCAGGACATGCAGCCCCACAGGGCTCCTGCTGCCACACACTCCCCTTACCTGGGCTTCCTAACAAACATCTCATCATGATCCTCCACTGAGCGCAGCAGGAGAAAAAGGAGGAAACAGAGTCAGTCTGCTGAGACCCAGGCCCAGACACAGCAAGAGGGGAAAGGGAAGGGAGGAAAACCGACCTCCTCACCTGCCATCCCCCTGCCCCAAGGTACAGCCCTTGGGCCAGAGCCATGGGCCAGAGCACAACCCCAGACCAGCAGCAGCACCACCACAAGCCCACACACAGCCCTGGGCAGCTCTCGCTGGCTCAGCTGCCCAGAGGGACCACATGGGGCCAAAAACAACACTCTGGTGCCACAATTCAGCCCCTGCTGGGCTCCAGCAACCCAGGCAAAGTCTGGCACCCCCAGCCAGCACCAGGCCCTGCAGGAACTCACTGCCATCTGTGCCCGTCAGCTGGGCCAGTTTGCGGAAGGAGCGGGACTGGGAGGTCCCGGTGCGGGGCTGCC